TGATTTAATTATAGTTACTCGCGACAAAGATATGGACTGTACCTAGGGAGGAGATCGTATATATGTGACTGATGTCCGGATATTAGAAATCGACGAGTCCTAGCTGTTGTTTTGTTTGCACACCTACCTTTATCCAAGATGTTAACCTATTCTCTGTAGACTGACTCTAGGATGTATGTAGCTTATTTGAATTCGCAGACACAGACTAAATATATGTATGAGATTTATGTATTTTACTTGTATTTACTGTGGTTTAAATTTGAGACCTGTTTGGTGCAAGCTGCTCTTTGAGAGGACTTGAACTTAATATATTCTCTTTTGGTGCTGATTATTCGACCAATATGGATCGCTCTAAAGTAAGAGTGTAAATGGGAGGTAATTCAGTTTTGTACGTCTTGACCACATTGGAGCTAATCGCTCTTGTAATTTTAGTGGTTCTTCACAATCGTGTACATACTCAAGGTGCGGAAATTATTCGTTGCTGAAGGGTTGTTAGTTAGAGTGAGTCTTATCACACAATCTGAAATAAAAGTCTCTGGTATCATTGTGTTTGGTACGCTGTTAGAGGGTCCTGCTACTTTTTTTCAAAATTTTTCAACGCTGAGTCAGTGCTGGACAGAATGTATACACGATAGATGTGATGTCTTTTGCGACTTGATTATAGTTGAAATCTGTGTAAAGATACGTGAGAGGGGGAGATTAGGATATGTAGACTCTTAAATAATTGCGTTCCTGCATACGAATCGAAGTTCCTTGTTCTGTTTAGCATCTAAGCTCGAATTGCAGGAAAGCAATGTGATATATCCGTACTGATTTATTGGAGTATCTACTTAGTCATACTCGGCTAGAGGGCAGCTCTTCTAAATAGGTTGTGCTATGTTTAAACATTCAAGAAGTATATTATATAAAATAATTGTAAGAGGATTACTCTTAACGAGCAGCGCTCTGTCGCGGATATTCTATTAATTCCACTTTCTCTGCGAGAGCATTTCCAATGCTCTCTATTGGGGGCCCATAGCACAGTATCATGCATTTCTCGTGGGCGATACGTCTTCTTGCATCTGGCCTCGGTCAACTCTAGGTATGGCTAATTAGTTCTTGGTTACTCTCTCTGGGATCTTTCTGGTTCCGGCAACATATTCGCTCATTTCAAGGACTCGTTTCTGACCTATGGCACGTTTGTCTTGTACATTTGCAACATCAAAGTCATCGAATCTGGTTCTTAATAGACGAGAGTTTTGTATTTTTGAGCTCATCTCAAATAAGATATGCGATGCAAGGTGACGATGTATCATTGCCAATATTTTCTCGAAATTTGGCAGCCATGTAGATTGGGTTTTGGCGTTAGGTCGTTCGGTCGGTTCTGTTAGCTTTTGCTGCTCACTGTGACTGGATTATACTAGCATGCTTTGTTTAATCGTCCAGCTAGTCACTTATTCAACGGCTCTAGCAGGCTTTCCGCGTATAACTATTTTGTTCATTTATCGTAATCTCGATCTGCAGGCATGTATCTGAAACTCGCGTTGACGGGTCGATAGCGACAAACTTAAACATAGCGAGGGAGTCAATGACGTCTTTTAGTAGTGTTGAGTGATCGCTTTGTTCCATAAGTATATGAGTTTATTACTTTGTTTGTCACGTGTTAGTTTCTTCGTCAATTGACTTTGATTAAGTCATCAAATTTAGACTCGTGTCAAATGCTCAGTCATGCATTTCCATTAAATATGGATTTAATATAATATATGTACACTCTCTCTCCAGGAAGAAATTTATTTATGTTTTGTCTCACACGTCTTAATTGCATGGGTCGGCTCGCATTTCGTCTTTTTGTAGGCAAGATCTTACTATCTTTTGGCCTATTTTTATCAAGAAGCTGTCGAGGATGATTGTTTCCAGATTTGGTCGATTTAATATGTTACCGGTCCTTGCTTTTAAAAGTGTTCATGAGTGCGTACGGATCATTCTAAATCAAATCAGTGCAAGCACCCCCTCACCTTCCGCTATCTTCTCAATTATACTACCTGGTCATCGGAAAATAATAACGTAAACAATTCTTAGTATCTGGATCGATATGTAGCCATTCCTATTTCACTACCTGCACTTGAATGTCATCCACTCTTCACTTCTGTCTTTAATGTGTTTGTATTGTATGACAAGACTGAAATATATGTGATGTACAGGCATAGTACTTGCAACAGTGTTGGAGAAAGACAGCAACCGCTCTGCAGAATCCTTAATTGCTGACTATGGAGAATTTGGTCTCCGCGAAGGCCCTGAAGTAAAAGTTTAATTTTCTCGTGCACGAGCGTGTAATATCGTTGATAAGGGATTCTGGGGCTCAATTAGAGTGTTTCACGTGATTGTGAAGTCCATGCCGTTCTTTCATTACTCTGAACCGGTACTACTTTTGTTCCATTGACGCGCTTCTGAAGCAGATCAATGAAACCGATTGAACATTTTTCTACCTCTCCTTGTCTCGTTTCTATAGGTTGTTTTTAATGTTAAATATATGTCTATGACCGATCCTGGGCGGCAGTAAAACCACATGTTTCCTCTCCCCTATTTTTCCTTTTATCTCTTTCTATTTTATTCGTATATTTTTGCTAGACGTCTACCTATAGATGATCCAATAACTGGCTATTGCCTCTGTAGTTTGTTTCATTGTCTGTGATCTTTTCTTATGGTTGGTGTTAGGTCATAGACGTTAGCCATCTCCTGAGGAGGATTTTCTCCATCATCGCACCTTGAAACATGTGTTTTGAGCATTTTGGTGCAGTTTATAAGGGACCATTATTTCAGTAATTTCTGCCGGTATACTTCTCCGGACCAGGTGCGCTTTATTGGATTTCATTGTTTAGTGCTTTTTCTAAATCTTTGAATTGTCAGATCTACCGCCTTTGCTCAAATTTTATTCCTTGTGCTGTTTGGAAAGTTTCTTGTTTTCTAGAAGCAGTCTTTTCGAATACTGTTTCCATTTTGTGATTCCGAAATGTTTGGATATGCGATAGATTGTTTTTCTTCATTCGATTAATAGGATTTAATTACTTTCCAGCTTCTGAGGCTCCCGTGCTCCCGTGAATTGTTCATATAATCGCATTATGTCCAGCCGATAATTTTATTCTTCCGTGATAATATCTTCTTGTTTACATTCTCTAGCTTATTGCTGTTGTACTGTAAATACTTTTAGCTACAGCTTCGGTTCTTCTTTTGTCCACTAAGCCGATTTTAATAAATACAGTTCTCTTTCCTCTTAATCTTTTCTTCTAGACTGTGTCCCACAATAATTGTTTTGGTGTTTTAATTTACAAAGTACCTAATAAATCTCCTCTGGCGGCTTGGTGATACATCTTTTTATGGTGTTCATATTCTTTTTCTAATTGGCTGTGTTAACCAATAGGTTTAGTTTTCAGCCTTTGTTCTGTAGAGATTGTGTACTTTCATAGAAAAGACTGCGTTATTTGTATTTTGGTAGGCTTTCATGACAATTGCCCTGCCTTATTTTCTATTCTGTGGTATTCAATGTAAATGGAATGAATATTTTTAGCAATTACACAACAGTGGTCGCTACGATTGGGCTCCCTTTCACTATAAATTTGGACTTTGAGTGAAAAGTTTTTTGCATGGTTACACAGAGGTCTATCTAGATTTAGTTTTTGTATATGTTGGTACCAGGTATACACTGTATAATATCTTATGTTTGAAGAAAGTGTTAATTAGATTTTCATTTCATACTCTTCACAATATTAAGTAAGTCTTTTTCCATTGTCATTGCAGAGTTTCCTCACCATTTGACCCACAATATTTGGTTCTTGTCTCTCCAACTGCTGCGGCCGTTAAAATCTCCTGCAAATATTATTTCATGGACTGTTTGGAATTCCCGTCAGGGGTTCTTTGACTCTCATTTCATAAATCAGTTTATTAGCCTTGGGATATCATTCATTATATATTCTATACACTTATGTATTTTCCTCTGATTTTTAAACACTGAACTTTAATAAGACGTATTTATATACTGCCCAACTTTTTATATCTTTACTTGAATGCTTTCCTCGCAGTAAAATAGAACTTCGGTGCTTGGGTCATGTTCGAGTTTGTTTAGCCATGTAAAAGTGGCACCAAAGTTGTTGCGGTGTCATCGCTTCCCTTGCTTTCTTTTTTGTTTCAGCCAGAACGGCTTATAATCTATGGTTTCTTTCTGTCTCATGCATTTCCCCTGGATTATTCTTGTTGTTTATTTGATATACTTTGTACACTTATCTACCATATATTCAGAGTCCATTTTACGTTGCCTTGCCTTTCTTTTTTGTTATCAGACCAGACGGCTTATCTATGTTTCTTCTCATCATTTCCTGGATTATTCGTGTTGTTTATTTGATATACTTTTGTACATTTCCATATAACAATATTCAGAGTTCCATTTTCTTTGCTGATTGTTAGTTTCCGCTTTTGAATATATATATATTTTTTGTGTTCTGCAAACCTATTTTGAAGTGACTGCAAAATGAGTCTGTGTACAGGTTTGATAAATACTAGTTACTAATGCTTATTGGCTTCAAACGTCCAACAAAGATTATTTAAGGTACATTCTATTTTCACTCTAGTTTTAAACAGATTTCAAGCAAATGCAAAGAACATCACATCTAACGTGTTGCTTCTGCAATACTCAGTGAAATTTGAAAAAAAGTAGCAGACCCAAAGCCCCATGAGCAGCTCTTTTGAACTTTTGTAACCTCTAAAGCCTTGCAACTGATTGACACATTGAAGCCTAATTCAGCATTAGCCCTGTTTAAACTATATTTACATAAACTTTACACATTGTGCTATGTGGTAAGCTGCAATTGCACCAAAGAGAAGAATTTGGTCAAGCCTTACAGAGAACATCACAAAAGTCAATAAACACAGAAATACTTACCAATCTTTATCTCTTATTTCAAAGCACTATTTGTCTAAGGAGAATTTGTGAAGGTTGTCACAACAGAGGTAGAACTCGTTTCAAAAATCAGCCATTTTATTCTTCAGGGAATTGGTAACTAGAAATAAACATCTATATGTAACAATGTCTGAACATTCTAACATAATATAAAAATTTACATTACATAATCAAAACTAGAAATTTTTCAAATATTATTTCCACTGTTTTGAAACCTCGATAATTTTCTGCAAAACTCCTAATACAGTTCAATTTGCAGACCATTATATCTGTACAATTCAACCCTCTAGCACAAAGGAGGATCAATAAGATCTCATTTTATTTGCAATATTTTATAACACATATTACTCTAGGAACCAACAATAGAACAACAAAATAATACAGGAAACTTGTGAAATTTGATACAAAAAAAAGGCAGGAGTCAGAAAAATATCATGTTCATCAGTGCACATCACTATTACAAGGATTAAGTGCACATTATCACATGCCACAATTGAAGTGGCATGCACACTCCTCAATATACATCTGTCTTCACTACACTTGCAAATAAACCATCAGGAATTAATGACAATGAAAATTTCTTTCAAAACAAAATACATCCTGCAGTTATTACAATCTGCACAATGAAACCATGATATAATTTGACAACAATATCCCTCAAAACTATAATGCAAAAATAAATCATTAAGATGAAGAAATGAGCAATATACGATTTAAAATGGTATTACAAACATAATGTTGCAATGAACTTTAGCTCATGTCACACAACAGTCAAAGTATTGCTATGGCACATGATTTGCACAGCAAAGAGTGGAAATTATATGAACAGATCAAAGATCACTATACAACTGAGAGACACCCAGACCTCACACTCATCAAATTGGCACTCGCTAGCAAGGTCTAGCACCAGATCATCACATTATGTTTGGGCACCTCTGATGAACATCAACATTATCAGAGTGATGACACAAAAAGTTGGAAATGAGCAGAACTTGCCAATAGTTTGAGATTCAATCTCATTGACCAAATTTTCATGCATTATCAATGTAATATTTTTTCTAATTTTTTTCCTCAAAATTTATTTTTTATGTGTTTATAAAATCTATTTTTGTTTGCATTCTACTTGCACAGTAGTTGCTGAAATAGAATTCTCCAAGAATCTAAAACTTGCCCTTTAAACAATAATAGTTGTACAAACATCTTTTCATATGAGTTATTTCAACCTGAAATTAGGTAGAGATAAAGTTAAAAAAATATAATATTGTACTTTCGGTGATTCAGCACAACTGCTGTCATTAACAATGTGCACACTTTGAGAGTGTCATTTCACTTAATATTTTCCAATTCTTTCTAAAGCTTTACTCATCAAGTGAAGGAAAATGAACATGAATCAGATGAGCAAGTGTATGAACTGCACTTCATGCCCATTTACATCCATCTACTCACTTCACCTTGGACTCTAGTCCTCATAGGTTAATTGACTTCAACAAACTCCTGTTTTTGAAATATCACGATTCACTGCCATTTATCCTAACAACAAGCAGCTGTACACACCCATCACAATAAGGGAAGGTGCCACATGGCATAAAAGGGCTTAAAATTAACTCTACTAAAAGTTCTTATCATATACTATGATTTTCATTCGTAGCAAAGAATATATTTTTCATAGCAACATTATAAGATGCAATTTCTCATTGAAATATTTGGTGAAACCTTGTATGTTGGACATTCTCGGCTTTCTTAGCCATGTTAACAATGTAAAATAAGAACATTTTAGTGCAGTTAATTTTAATAATAAGTAATGTACTGTCAAATTTTATATTTAAGAGCAACAACAAAGAGTGACCTAACAGTCACCAGTTACACATTGTCAGAACATATATTCACAAAGATGTAATACCCTCTTTTTAAACAGAAATTCTGGACGTCTGATCTCTCAAAATACTATAGGAAGGAAGGAAATTAAGAATAGGAAGGTGTGACATTATAAGAATCTTGAATTCTATATAATCAAAAAATATATTTACAGAAACATACTTTCAAATACTACGAGTACTAAAATGCACCACACATGGGCTTTGAGGTTTGTAGGTATTTTACCCTTTCATACACTTGTATAATTCTATAACACCTTTTTACATATCAGATCTTTCATTAAATTTCAAGTCTCTCAACAGAGTGGCACAAGATTCACCACAGAGAGACCAAATGTAGCAGCCACAGGAAAATAGAGAAGGAAGGCAATTGGACGCAAACACATGATAAAAACCATACATTTTAACAACATTCAAGGTTCAAAATTAAGAATATAGTCTTTCAGTGAAACAGGTAAGGGTAATTTGTTTACATGTATGCCTGGTCGACGTCCCAAAGCATTGTATATGGCAACCCTGCAAATTTGCTTTAGCGTCCTTGGTTTACTGTACAGTTCTCTCACCAAATTACAAAGCGCACTCCCTCGCACAGGTACCAGTCCTGTCTGCTGTGTGTACATCACCTTCAGGCAGGCAAACAGTTCTCGGTGATTCATACACAAATAGTACAACCAGATAATTCTGGCAAAATGATGCTGTTGATCAAGAAGAAAATCCTCTTTGCGACAAATTAAAAGAACATAATAATAAAGAACTTGAAGCGATGATTTCTTCAGAAAGACTGATGACTGAGAGTGGCAGATGGTCATGGATTCAGATGTGGTGGTGTTTATGTTGGGATTGGCCCCATATTGAATGAGTGTCAGAGACAAATCATAAACATAATTTAGATCAGAAGGTACACGTGCATTTTGAACCATATCTATCAGGGACTGCAGAATGTGTTGCATTCTTTGGGAGAAACGCCCGTTGGGATCCAAACCATACTGCAGTAGTATCACAAGCAAATTACGAATAAATTCAAAGTTGGTAGCTTTCTCCTCTTCACGATTTAATGCAATGTTTTCACTAGCTGTGAATACCAGCACATGTAAAGGCGTGAGATTGCTGCGTGATGAACAGTTTGCATTGGCTCCATGTTTACAAAGTATCCGCACACAATTCAAATAACACACCTGAAATGCAAAATGATTTTCTTTACATTTTGATGAAAAGTGCAAGGTTCTACTTAGAAAATAACATCCTCAATATTCTTACAAATAGTGAAAACTTTTTTATTTATATCATATACATTATATATAATAAGCATCCAAAATGTTCTCCCATCTGTCTCTATTTCATCACCAAGCTAAAGTAATGCTAGCACAACGCTTAGCATTCAAAGACAACAAACAAATTCAAAGTTTTGAACTGTGCTTTACATAATTATGACAAGCAAACTGAAAGGATTTCAATTAAATGATAAAGGTGTTTATTGCAATGCATCTTGTCTATTCAGTCTACTAAAAGATGAAACTTCTATACAGTATTAGCCTTTTTAAATTTGCTGGGTCCTTCAGACTTTCACAATTCATCATAACTGACCATACATTACCAACCTTCATATTGTGAGTGAAGTGATGAAGGGGGTCTTTGTTGATAAGAGGAACAAGGCAAACCATCAAAGGTACCGAGCCATCACGACCAACTACATTGGGATTGCCACCATTTTGAAGCAGCATATTGAGAAGTTCATATCGAAATTCCCAGTCTCTCACATGACGCAACACACACGCCAATGCACTATTTCCAGGTTGATTGATGGATGGTTGAGCTCCATGTTGCAAAAGGAAGCGTACCTGAAATGAAACAAACAGAATCAATGGATTAGTTTTCACAATATTTTAAAAACTGTTGTTAATAAAACAACAATGTGTATTATTATAATCAAGAAATTAAAACAATTTTAATTCATCACTTTCACTTCTAAATTGAAATACATATTCAACCCTCGTTGAAAACTGTTATATCACTTTTTTGCTGAAAAAGAGATTATTACATAACTGAATTTCTCCAACCATTCTCTTCATTGGTATATAATCAGATAAATTGAATCCTTTTGGTTGCTGAGCAATGACTGCCTTTGTATTTATGAACAAGAAGTAAATTTCATAAAATCATAAAACCTACCACCTATTAAATTTATAACCCTAGAAATACACTAAAACTCATAAACCCTATAACTTATTACTTCAGTTGTGTATTATTCACACAATAAATATAGTTGAGATAGTTGATAATCCTCAAATAAGTTATGTTGTTTAATCATTCTCGAAGATAAGTCTGAACAACCACAAGATGACAAAGATATGTTGTATAATTCAGTTTTAGCTTTTTCTAAGGAACAAAGATACATTAATAGCAACTTTTGAAAGATATGATATAATAATCTCTTTAGTTTGCAATACAATTTTTTAAATAATTTCTTGAAGTGATTGTAAGAGCCATGTCATCTCAGTGACATTCATTGTAGTTACTTCATAAAAATTAATTTTATCTGGTTGGGGAAATCAGATGAGACATTTCACGGCCATTAGCTGATTTACTTCAAGAATATTATATGAAAAGTTATTACATTTAGAATTAAATTACAGTACAATCGTGATCTGTTGAAGAGTTCAAGGGATCGCAATCTGTCATTCACTTATGGAGGTATTATATCAAAACAAGTTTTTCGCCTACACAGGTACAGGAGTGGCTTTTCTCACAAACAGAGGTATTCAGCAAATATGTGGCAATAAATATGAATGTTTGTACTGTATAGGTATTATTTATTAGAATTTGACATGTATGCTTATAAAAAGAAAACAAAAAATCTTACACTAATATTTACTTTAAAAAATTCATTAATTTCTTTTGCTTTTCTGATTTTGCATTTCATTTATGTTTTTTTTAAATTTTATAATCTTATCAATATTGTTTTACCAACAACCGCAGAGTATTCAAGAAACTGGTGGAGCGTCTCCAGTGTTTGTTTGTTTTTTAATTTTATAAAAGGTGGATTAGGTTCGAACTCACTTTGCATTTCATTTTGTGATTTCCCACTCTTGAAAACATTACTATTTTAAGTTAATAACTTGACAACACTGATTTTTTGTTTCAACATTTTGTGTATGTGCTGAACCTTTCGTTGTAATTGATACTTATCAAATGTAGTAAGTTCATCAGTACACATGCACGTTTGGGCATTCAAATAGAATATGAATTAAAAACAAAACTGTAGATTTACGAAATTTAAGAACACAAAAATAGCTTTTAGTTCCATGAAATGTAAGAAGAGGGTCAAAAATAGCAGATAGCAAAAATTGCAGATACACTTGTTTGTTTCTTCTAAAGGTACAAAGTAGTAACAGTTATAGAGTTCCTTGAGGGAAAAACAACTTTCTCTACTACAGGCTTGTTTCTCTCTAATAGAGGTTTTAGAGGGTTAAAATAACAAGACCTGGCAATTATTGTCCCTTGTAGAATTTCCTCACTTATCAAGTTCCCAATTACCCACAATGCTAAAAGAAAAGGAGACAGAACAGCATCAAAGTGGTACAAAAATAATTGGGACAAGAGACAATGAATCCTAAGTTCAAATACAAAAAGGTTTCCTAATTAAACAACAGTAGGCATTGTGGTACTACTGTAACAAATTAAATTTATTAAATTTACATGTTTTTGTTTCAAAGAAAATCATATTTTGTTCTGGTCATCAATATAAATATCCTTAATATAATTAATTCTACCAATCAGATTCTCTTACGAGCGGTACACATTCATGTCCACAAATTGAAAGCAAGTATAATATAGTGTGAAATACCTATATGAAATCTTAGACCTCTCTACTTTTGTTGTCCCACATTGAGCAAACTATCTGTGACATACCTTCTTACTTTATTTTGATATTTCATTACTTTTATTGCCCAGATAATTCACATAAATACTCTTGACAAACATTTCTTACTAATTCTGTAAACTATCATGAAAGGATGAACCTCCCTACTTTTATTAAGGTTATTATTTATTTTATTTACCCTTCTATGCTCATAAATTCTCTCAGTATTAAAACGCCATTATCTTGATTCAACTTTTATTTTTGCTTATGGGTCTCTTGAGGTACATGTTACCTTCTTACTAGATGTATGTGGATGTGCAATTCTATACAGAATTGAAATTCCTGGAAGTTATGTTGATTGAAACCAATTATTTGAAGTGATGGCAACTAACTACAAATTATTAGGCTTTTCTTTTTCAAAATAATTACTTACCATTTATTAGAACACATTAGGCTTTCTGGCTTATCACAATATAAGTCCTGAGATCGTATAATCATTAAATAGTACTGTTGAAAACAAAATTAAAACCTGAGCTCAACATAAAATTTAATTGAAATATAACATTAAATTAAAAAGGGTATTGTTTATTAAAAATTAATTATAGAGAAGAGATTGAGAGGGGTAATACAATATTAATTCCAGTTATTCTCTGTGATAAACACATAAATTTTATTCCAATCATTAATGTGCATTTAATTTGTCCTGCATTCAAATTACATGCATCAAATTTTACTGTATTTACTGCACTCCACATCATCTTGAACTTTGTCTGATGGCACAACAATTCTCGGAGGACCAAGTCTTGGCTTGCCCAACATTCTTCTGAACTCCTTTCTCTCTTAAGGCATCTTCTCCCAATTCTGATCCTTAACTTCTTTATCCTATATAGGTCTGCCACATCATCATTTTTCCATTTCTTCCTGATCTGCTTTTGCACCTTGTTGCTATTTGTTTCCATTGTGTTATTTTCTTAATACGTACTGTGAATCCAAGTCAAGTACCTGATGAACAGATTACTTGCCTACGACACAGGATGGACAGAAAAGCAAGAAGTTGATGGCAGGAGCTGCACAGGGATCATACTAGGAGCACCACTGAGGAATGCCAATTACAATGCTATCCTGAGAATGGACATGCCTGATGGAATTTTGCTGGTGCGCTATAAGGATGATCGTGCAGCAATTATAATTGCATGTTCACTATAATGCCGACAAATCGAATTGATTCAGAGAATGAGGATGACATGTATGACGGATCATAAACTACAATTAGCTGACAAGAACACAAGAGATAATTCTCTTAACCAAACGTAGACTGGATCCCATAGTGCGCATGGAAATACAAGGGCATCACAATAAAGCCACAAAAAGCATGAAGTACCTTAGGATGATGTTCATTCGCAAGCTCACCTACTGAGAACAGAGAAAGCCACCAATGGTAGCACTACAGAAATTAATGGGCAATACAGGAGGCCCCAAGTCCACAATGCATTGAATGCTGAAGTCAGTTGCTCAGTCAATCACACAATACGGTGTAAAGATCTGGACCAACGCAATGAGGCACAAAAAGTGCTGTAAATGCAAACTGAAGGTTCTCAGATGCTGCAATCTTCATGGTTGCTCGAGCAATCTGGCACAAGAGTGAAAGGATATACATAATGGTAAATCATGGACAAACTCGACAGGCACCAAAAGAAAAGCAAAAAACATACTCTACAATGGTGACAGAGAAGACGGGATGGAGAAAGCAAAGGCAGATAGTCAGATTCGTCCCAAAAGTTGAGACTTGGACATCAAGGAATTACAATAAGACAATTTCTATCTCACCCAATTTCTAACAGTACATGGATACTTCTAAGCATATTTGCATTAGATGGCAAATGCTGGTGGACTAGAGTGCACATACTGTGGCCTTGGATGCACACCATACAGGAAAAACTAGGCCACCAGACAATGTACTCAACATGATACTAGCCAGGCCTGAAAACTAGAAGACTGGCTATGTCACACAAATTCCAACACAAAAGAAAAAGGACACGATAAACCTCGCAATACACGAATAACTACAGAATAGAGAAGAGCAGCAAAATATAATTAATTTATTCAAGATATGTTTCAAGTAAATGTGTTGTTAACACAAAGTTTTGGATGCTGATCTGCCAAAGGAAAGTAAAATGTGTGTGTGTGTGCACACGCGTGTGTGTGTGTGTGTGTGTGTGTGTGTGTGACATAGAGTAATATAAATTATTAATATTCAATATTTCAGAGAAAGTATACAGATGGTCTTTACACATTAGGCTTTTGGCTGCAACATATTTTGAAGCACAGACTTCATTCAATCCAATCCATTCCCAGGCTTCTTCGCCTTGCTGAAGAGAACCGAATAGTTCGAAAACGTCCAGCAAAACTGGGTCTTTCAATTTTTCCATTTTGCAGTGACCGCCCATTTGGGATCAAAGTTTATCCCAAGACCTTGGTAACCCTACCAAAACTCACAATTTCTGAGTGGTATTTGGGATCCATTGGTCAAGGTGTTTTGGACAAGATACCCTTTGGCAAACACTAACAAACATATTCTTTGGCTTAAACCTACATTATCTTTTGCTATACTGTTTCGACTTCAATTCGTCTCATCAGCTTGGGAAGTGTTGAGATCAGTGACATGGCTGACCGCATACCCAAGGACAGTACTGGGGAGATTCTGGAAACTTTTAGGATCAAACTTTGTACTCCACGAAGCAAATGCCTTTTGCCTTTTGGCTCACGCCTTTTGCCTTTTGGCTGCAACAGATGGTCTCAATGGCAACCCAACATGAGGTGAATTTCAATTTTAAATAAATACAATTTGTGAAAGTGAAATGCTGGGTATTAGTATACCTAATTAAACCATTACTGCCTGATGAAGATAACAAAATACAGTTTCAAAATGTTGCTCATCTAACTATTTGAAACAAAATTATTAAATTTGAAATCACTGAAATTGTAACATTTTGTAAAAATGTGATTTTGTGACACTGTAATAATTAAAAAATGGGTGCATATAAGGTATAAGAAAACATTTTCCTTTGCGCACCTAATTCTCCAGGCCTTGCATCCCTGCCAATGCATTATTTCAGTCCCACTAACACACTACTTCGGCATGCTTCACACTTACAACACATTAACGATTTGGGAGAAGAAAAAAAA